TCACAGACCAATAACAATAAGGTTACAAGGAACAACACTCCCACACACAGCACATAATCCCTCCCCTCTGTCTGGGAGATTATTGAGTCAGATACTGTATTAACTCAATTATCTCCAGGCAGAATTTTTTTTAATTTTCATAAAACCCCAAAAGTACACCAAAACACATAATATCTCCACAAGTTACATGATAGCCTTGATCTGGGTGACCAACATATCCAAAAATCACCCAGATCAGTTTAGGGGTTCAGGAATTTCCTGGAAGACATTTATTTGACCGACTGCAGACATGGTCCCATGCCCAAAACAGTTCCAGAGAATCAGGGCTTGTGGACGGTCTAGTTTGGTAGTTTGAAAATGGACAAACTACCGAACAGCGTCAATAGAGTCATACAGACGAATGATTCACCGATCAGTGCCCTTCTAAGCTGTATAGAACCGAATGCGGGTGATGATGGAAGTCCAGCGGTGTGCGTGAGTTTCTGTGTCCGATTTTAGTTCCATGAAATTCATGCCCAAACACTGATGCCTGCGTTCATGCGAACAAGATGGCCGCCACCTCTTGGTTGTCCATAGGAATTGTGGCCACCCAGACGAACAATTAGAACACTGAGATGAGAACGTTCCAAGTTGTTAATAGGTGTTCTCCAGGGTGGTCTCTGGTTCTTGCAGTTGTTCGATTGCAGGTTCGAACCGCTTCGGGAGTTCAAAGTGTCACTGAGTAAATAATGTCAGAAGTCCAAAAGGCACAAACAGTGGGTTTAACTAAGTTTTATCACAGGGGCCATAGTCACAGGGCAGGAGGCTGGCAAACAGGCTCCTCCAAAAGCCAGTGGCGAGATTACTTTTGCCACACAGCGATACTTGGGAGGAACAACTGGTACATGTGGGGGCTGTGCTGGACAGGATTGACACTGAAGCCCAGCTAGTGCAACCTGGGGATGGCGGAGGTACAATAACTGGGACACAGGGTGGGGTGTGGAACACAGAAGTCGGAGTAAGCCAAAGTGGAGGCAATAGCTAGCTGGGCCCGTCCCCTCACTAAGACCCAGGTGCTGGCTTTCCTAGGGACGGACGGTTATTATAGTAAATTTGTCCCCAACTACAGTGCCCTAGCTAAACCTCTGACCGACCTGACCAAGTCTTTGCCCAGTGACGGACACCCCGAGTGAGGAGGGGTATATGCAGCCAGAGATGTCCTTTTCCCCTAGTCTTGAGCAGCGCTGCAGTGTTCTACAGTTGATATCCCAGCAGACCATGAATCCGATATAGCTGTAGAGATCTTATAAGAGCTAGTGGTTATAGCTGTATAGTGGTTTCCTACAATCACGAGACGAGGCTGCGCGTTGAGGGTTAAGTGAACTGGTTTAATGGTGGCCACACTGGTCTTTTATGCAAGTATGACACCCACATGGACCTTGTTGGGGACAGGGACACAAACTTACACACCAATAACAACAGAGTTACAACATAAGGCACTCCCACACATGGCATACAATCCCTCCCCTCTGCCTGGGAGATAATTGAGTCAATAACTGTATCAACTCAATTATCTCCCTGAAAATACCCTAAAATCACACATGAACCCCATAAAAAGTATACCCCTGATAGTTCCGATCTGGGTGAGCAAAATATCCAAAAATTTCTGACCGACCACACCCGAGGCTCGTGCCTAGAATAGTTCTATAGAATCAGCTGGTGCAGTCGGTCTCTTTCGTGGACTTCAAAAGTAACCAACATGTTTTGAATAGCTGTTTGTGGGAATGCTAGTCATGTGCCCCTTGTTCGGGAGCTGGTTTTCACTGAACGCTGCCTCTTTCGGATGGATTGGAACAAACTAAGTGATCCTGAAAGTCTCAGCAGTGTTCGTGCATACAAATCGACGGCCACCCAGTGAACCACTTAGAACATTCAGAGTGCGGTTAGAGCAAGTGTCAATAAGGTCAATTGGCGGCACACAACTGCTTTGGGTGGTCCAAGGGTTCGGTATAACGTTCGGTATACGAACCAGCTGGGGTAAAGTCTGCTAGGTTTGGTTCGTATACCGATCCAGGCAAAATTAAAATAATGTCCAGGAACAGGGCAACTGTTACACTGTGAACAGGCATTGCAAGCCCTCAAGGACGCCCTGATAAATGCCCCTGTCCTGGCTGCTCCTAATCCCAGGAAAGTTTTCTCGTTCACACAGATGCCAGGTCGGGAATGATGGCAGAGAACACCCAGTGGCTCATTTCAGCAGGAAGTTGTTGCCCAGGTAGGTAATCTACGCTACGTCGCTTCGTGTGCTACGGAAGTTGTTGCCCAGGGAGGGCAACTCAAGAAGCTGCAGCCCTATCTGTATATGGACACTGCACACAGATCACAACCAGTTGGTGTGGCTTAACCGGGTCGCAGGGGACAATGGTGGAGTCTGGCCCTACAACCACATGACCCGGTAAGCAGAACGGCAATGCCGACGGATTGTCCAGACAGACGGCCCTAGATAAATGATCCGTGAGGACTCCCCCGGACATCTCCCAGGCAGAGGGGAGGGATTGTATGCCATGTGTGGGAGTGCCTTATGTTGTAACTCTGTTATTGGTGTGTAAGTTGGGATCAGACTGTGTATGCCGGCTTGTGGTTAAGGGAGAGCTGCGTGGTGGGACCGCTGCCTGTTCGTAAATTGCTGTGTGTCATTCCCCACATTTCTCCCCTATCGTGTGCTGTAATTTTGTATTTTACCTACTCCCCATTCGGGCGGCCCAATACGAATGGGTTCTGTTCGCCTCCTGAACGGGGACCACCTCGATACCCTATTTAGAATGTTTGTTTAGAATGTTCACACCTCATTTACGAGGTGTGAAAAACCACAAACCGGAATGGACGCCTGCAGACCCGTTCGTTATACCAACGCCATCCAGGGGGAGCATTCGCGGATTGCTTCCCACCTCGTTCGGCTCCCAAACGAGGACCTCCCCAGTGCCCCTTGGAGTGTTCACACCACACATTAGAACGTTGGCAACTTGCAACATAAGTGTGAAACCGCAAGGGAAGTAATTAATGAGCGCTTGCCTAGGTACATCCAGGTAGTGTAACACCTGTTCCTTCAACTTTCAACCTGCAAACTATGCTTCCAAAGCTGTCTCTAAGAACATTCAGTGCCTTCACAATCTTTTTGTATCCTTTTCATTGTTTGTAAAGGGGGATTATCTCTTCTCAAACCCCTAGCCAGGTTCAGATAATTCAATTGTTCCAGCTCAAGCACACATGGTGCAACTAATGCATCCCTTGATTAGTCGCATCAGGTGTGCTTGCGACACCGGTTTTGCACATTTGTGCTGTTGTGAGGGATTCTATTCGTGGGGTTGAATAATTTTGAGATTGGAGAAGTCATTATAAGTCACATTTTCAGTTGAATTAGGGAGGAAACCATTTAAAGCACTTGTTGTGTTGAGCTACGTCAATTGCTTTTGTTTGATTTGTTTATTGCAAACAGTTGAAAGTCTAAATGTTGACAATAAACTTGATTTTCAATGGGGGTTGAATCATTTTGATTACAACTGTACCCAAAATTCTCATAGCAGCCAATGCATTGTGACTGAATTGGTGTCTGCAGTTCTACAGAAACCAGAATTGTCACCGACCATTACAGGAGCCTCAGTCTGGTGCAAACCCTGATAAGAAGGTTTGCCCCTTTACCAGAGAACCAGGCCAGGGTCCTCCTGACATCGGAACTATTGGAGCAGACTGTAACCCTTTAAGGATTAAATATATATCCTAAATTCATGGTAACCTCATACTATGAAACAAGTAAATCCTTGTGAGACTTTAATCTCTGGAAGATCAGGTAACCAGAAGATTGAGTCTAATCTCTGGTCACCGTTAAAAATCACAATATTTCCGTAAAGAATTACCTGTGATAACTCCAAGCAAGTGTAATCGTATCCGTACCAAGGGACACCCATAACAAGCTTTTTGGGGTCAATGTCCAAATTAATGAATTTATCATAACCTGAAACAAAAAATTATAAATGGTTTAGAAAGGAGACAAAATTCGAGAAGCCGATTAATCTATTCAGTAAATAAAATAGGACACAGGATTAGGTGTTACACGTCATACCGTAACGGATGGCAGAGATACAAAAGCCTTTTTACTAACATACCCAACAACTCCTATCAAGTGCAGCCACACCATAATTCTGAAGATCAGACATTTAATTGGTCTTGGAAAGAAGTACAAGTAAAAACAATGCACTTCTCCATGAATAGGGTAATTGTTATCCTGCAGTGTGTACTAACCTTAGGACCCCATTAGACTTCACCCAGGAAAGGGGGAGAAAGTTAATATTGAGCAGTATTGCCTGGGGGAAGGTCGTTGTGTGTTCTGCTGATATACTATTAACAGTTATAATCAAACAAAGTCCTCCCGTACCTCCCCGAGTAATTGGAAGCATACAGAAAAAGTCATCATTAGAAGCTATCAACCCTTAATGGAAATTTAACTTGACCTTTATAGGTTTATTCACTAAACTAAGAACACAATAGGCACCATAGAAACAGAATGTGACGGCAGATAAGAGCCATTCGGCCCATCATACTTTCATTAGTCCCTGGCCTTATCTTATAGTTAGGATAGCCTTATGCCTATCCCACGCATGCTTAAACTCCTTTACTGTGTTAACCTCTACCACTTCAGCTGGAAGGCTATTCTATGCATCCACTACCCTCTCAGTAAAGTAATACCTCCTGATATTATTTTTAAACCTTTGTCCCTCTAATTTAAGACTATGTCCTCTTGTTGTGGTAGTTTTTCTTCTTTTAAATACAGTCTCCTCCTTTACTGTGTTGATTCCCTTTATGTATTTAAATGTTTCTATCATATCCCCCCTGTCTCGTCTTTCCGCCAAACTATAAATGTTAAGTTCCTTTAATAGTTATGTCCCGAACTGTTCGCCGAACGGTTCGCGAATGGTTCGCCACGTACTCATCATTGAGTAAACTTTGACCCTGTACCTCACAGTCAGCAGACACATTCCAGCCAATCAGCAGCAGACCCTCCCTCCCACCTCCTGGACAGCTCACTAAGAATGCAGCTTCACAATGAATGTAAAATGGATGCTGTCCAGGAGGTGGGAGGGTCTGGGAGGGAGGGTATGCTGCTGATTGGCTGGAATGTGTCTGCTGACTGTGAGGTACAGGGTCAAAGTTTACTCAATGATGAGTCTGTGGCGAACCGTTCGGGACATCACTATCCTTTAACCTTTCCTTGTAAGATTTATCCTGTAATCCATGAGCCAGTTTAGTAGCCCTTCTCTGAACTCTCTCCCAGCGCTGTATGTAGCGCAAGGCTGACAAGGCAAAAAAGCCGCCCCCTGAACGCCTCGGCAGATACTTTGTCAGCCTCTGGTCCTGGGGGGCCAAAGGCTGGCTGGTCACCTTGGGGCCGCCTAAGGCTGGCATCTCCTGATATTGAAGGCGGGTGGCGAAAGAACACTCTCCCCATGACCTCTTCCTGCTCAGCTCCTTCACACGCACCGCAGTGATGCTGGAGTCGGAAAATGAGGACACCCCGGCCCCAGCATCACTTAGCGGCGCGTGAGGGAGCAGAGCAGGAGGATTATAACTCCATATTCGCCGCCTCCACTGTGTGCCTGCTTGCCCCGACCGCCTTTGTCATGAGTTTTAAATCCAAGATATATTATCTTGCACTTATCCACATTAAATGGCAGTTGCCACAGCTCTTAGTATATAAACAAAAGGAGGAATACCGCACACTTATTAGAATCCTGGTGCAGCCAGACCTGGGGTTGACAACCCCTGCAGTAGTGGTTAAACAAAATTGTGGCCCAGGCACTCAAGGATCAGTTAAACAGCAGGTTTATTGGACAAAGTGCAACAATTTGATCCCATAGCTTGAGAAAGATCCCTTGTGGTATCAAAACATTGCACTTAGTCCAATATGCCTGCAATTCAACTGATCATTGAGTGCCTGGACCACAATTCTGTTTAGTTGCTACTGCTCTGACCATTTTCTAGTTTACCTTAATCATTTCCCATTTGGCTTATCCCTCCTGGAATATCAACCCTGTTACATATCTTAGGATCATCAGCAAAAATACATTCCTTACCATCAAGACCTTCTGCAATACCACTGTTACGGCTTCCCCGGTAGGAGAGGGGTTACAGCCGTATGAGATGTTCCCTTACCGAACGTAGAGGCAGCCACTGAGCGCTCCAAAGTACCGAACAGTAGCCGTACGGATGAGATAGTTCCCCAAACAACCGAACAGCAAGCACACGAATCCAATATTCTCCCAAACAGCTGAACAGCAATCATGTGAATCAAATATTCTCCCAAACAGCCAAACACGCATACTCCATACGACTAATCCCCCCCAATGACGAGACAAAGCTCCGTATTGAGGGTTAGCAGGAATCTGTTTAATGAGGGCTACTGTTACAAACTGCTATTTGTAACTGGCCCTTTAAATGGCAAATTGCCCTGCTTCCCTGGGTTGTGGAGAAGCCTATTTGCCAGCTTCCTCCCGCATGACTATGGCCCCTGGGAGATTGTGAAAATGTATGCACTTTTATTTGGTGTGTATGGCCCTTTAAGACTGTCGGTGGGCATATTGGGGCTTATGGACTCTTTATGTGACTGGTGCTGGCCCTTTAAACACCTTTTTTGGGACATCAGGAAGATTGGGACACTGCCCCTTTAAGACCGTGTCCCCAGACCTGGTGCAAACCCTTTGTGCCTGCCTGGCTATTTCCCACTTGGTTCAGTAAATAGGGCTTACTGAACCAAGTACCACACAGGCAGACCACCCAGAAGTGGAAGTGTGCAGGCAATTTACCTCCCAGAAGCTGCGGTTAACCGCAGCTTAATTGACAATGCTGGGTCTTTGTTCGTTTGCCGAACACGTGGCAGCGGCCATCTTTGATCATTCGACGAGTTCAGCGGTATGTGTAGCCAAATTCATGGAACTAAAATCGGCTACACATTTCCGCGAACACCGCTGAGCTCTACCTTCTCCCCTACTGATTTTACAGCTGCAGAGACTAAGTCCCATTCGACCGACCGCACAGTCCAAATCTATGGAACTGTTTTGGGCAGGAAAATGTGCTTGCGGTCGGTCATTAAGGGACCTCCAGCTAACTTTTAACCCCTGGATGGATTTGGCTGATTTTTGGTTATGTTTATGTTTTAAGTGTGCTGATTCCAAATATGTAATTGTTATGAAGATGGGATGTGTAGTTTTAAAGTTGCCGTGTATGGATAAAAACTGTATTTTTACTGCCTGTGTTTAATTATGTTAACCCATTGTGTACCATAATTAGATCACAGGCAGAGGGGAGGATTCTTGTGGGTAATTGCTGGGAGTGTTTCTGGAATGTACGGTTATTATTGGCTGTTGTGTAAAACCCTGTGGGTGGTCCTATCTCAGGGAAACCTGCATAAAAGAAGGTTCTTTGTGTGCCAATAAACAGAATGACTTGACCCTCTAACTTGCAACCTTGACTCATGTTTGTAGGGGACAGCTATAATCACTACAGGGATTGCTATGCTCTTCATACTCCCTTAGCTACTGAGCTCTTGTAAGAGCTCTTGTTCCTGATCCTGCTTCGCTCTACAGAAGGAAGAGGTTCGCCTACTGGAACCTGGAGCCTGGTCGTGGGTCCAGGGCACAGAGCAGACGGCGAGATACCAGTCCAGCAGCGGTGGATCGTGGAGTCTGCAGTACTTATGGTGGCTACGCAGTAGTTATGGTGTCTACGGTGCTGATGGTCCTTTGGTGAGCGCTAGGAGCATCCTTTTCTACGGTCCAACTTCCAGCCAGCCTGGAGGCAACCATAACAGCTACATTCCTGGCTTTTATGCAAGTCCCCCATCTGGTGGACACTCCCCTTGGGGACCAAATGGGGAACTGTGACAAGGACATTGAAGTAACCAATCACATGATACACACTTAGCCATTCCCCCTTTCTTACCCAGAACCCTCTGCTCTGTTCAGGGAGATAACTGAAGTAATTCAACTATCTCCCAGGACAGAGCCTAAACGCCATTTTAGATGACAATAACAAAAAGACATAAAAATACATAACTGACATTTTACAACATTTTACAGGTATTCAACAGGTCCCCAAATAGCTAGGATCTGAGTGCACCGAAGTACCGAATAGCGCTCAGATCCTATCCAATCGCCATGGAGCCAAAGGTTCACAGAGTCAGTGTGCATACGAATGAGCTCCACGGGATTCCTATCTGGGGTATGGTGTATTCAGTTGAAAACTACCGAATATAGGGCCGTTCGTGCCCTTCTACCGAACAAGAAGGGAGGTCAGCGGCTTCAGCGGTGTTCGTGCCAAAATGTATCCGTTTTCAGTTCCATGAGTTGGGCGTCGAGCACCGCTGTGCGTTCGCGTGTTTTAAAATGGCAGCGACCTCGTGTTCAGCATACGAATGGCGGCCACCCAACTACTGCATCAATTAAGAGGTGTCTGCGTTTAACCTCAACGTTCGGATGGGGCCAAGAGGTTAACCAGCAGTACACTTCTCTACTGCGTGGCCGGCTGTTCGGTAATTTTATTCGGTCCTAGTAGGGAACGGCATAGAGTCCATGGGAACGGGGAAACACGAATCAAACAAATGAAGGAGCAATACGGTTAGTTCAGTTCAAGACAGAGGGATCTGTCACACGGCTCCCCCTTTGTGGAACACTCCGGCAGACCTGGTTTGATCCTTTAACTGGTCAACTTGGGGATGCCTGGACTGAAGAGCTGGCGTAGAGTCCGTCTGCTGTGATAGCCCATCAGCATTACCATTGTGTTTACCGGGTCTGTAGGTGATAGTAAAGTTGTAAGGTTGCAGGGCTAGGCTCCACCGTAGCAACCTGCCGTTGTCCCCTGCAACCCGGTTAAGCCATACCAAGGGGTTGTGGTCTGTAATCAAGGAGAATTCTTGTCCATATAAGTAGGGAGTTAGTTTCTTAAGGGCCCAGAGAAGGGCCAAACATTCTTTTTCCACCGCCGCATAACTCACTTCCCGTGGTAGTAATTTCCTGCTTCGGTATGCGACAGGGTGCTCTCCTCCATCCTCCCCGACCTGGCTTAGCACAGCCCTCAGTCCAAACATGGAAGCGTCTGTATGGACGAGAAAACATTTGTTAGGTACTGGGGCAGCTTAGACGGGGGCATTCATGAGGTCTTGCTTTAAGGCATTAAACACAGCTTCACACGCTGGAGACCACAGTACCTGCTTAGGGAGATTCTTCTTGGTCAGGTCTGTCAGGGGTTTGGCTATCGTGCTATAGTCAGGTACAAAAACGACGGTAATACCCTGCTGTACCTAAAAAGGCCAGTACCTGGGTCTTGGTGCGGGGTGTGGGCCAGTTCGCTACTGCCTCCACCTTGGCTGGTTCGGGTCTCTGGCTTCCACACCCCACTCTGTGTCCCAAGTACTGTACCTCCGCCATGCCCAGATGGAACTTATCTGGCTTAAGGGTCAGGCCAGCGGCCCGAACCTTATCCAGAACTACCCCTACGTGCGTTAGGAGCACCTCCCAAGACCCACTGTAGACCGCAATGTCATTCAGGTAAGCACACGCAAAGTCCTGGAATCCATCAAGGAGTCTATCCACCTGTTACGATTGCCCCCGGTCTAGCAGGGGGTTTGATCGCTTGGATGTCCTGGTTCCCGCTGTAGAGAGTCGAACGGAGTTCCTTCGGTAATAAGCTGCAAGTGTAGAGTATTCCAACCACGATATAAGCATTAATATCCCGGATCCCTACAACATGAGTCGAGGCTGCAAGTTGAGGGTCAAAACGAACTGATTTTACTGGCACACAAACATGGCAATTTATGCAATTCCTCAGGTCCAAGGACAGCCCCCTGTGGACCTGATGGAATACAGGTACAGTACAAACAGGTAACCAATCACAGTACAGTGTATCATTTAAATTAGTACCTGCCCAGCTTGGAGATAATGAGGCCAACGGTTATACAATCTAATTATCTCCAAGCACACAAAAGACCACGTTTTATTATGCCTCATAAAACTGTATAAAAATACATAACTTCCACATTAATAGGGGAAAACGGTTCATTCTACCATTCATTCAATAGCTTGCGTTCGGGTACATTAAACATACGAATGGCGCTCCAATCCCACGAACAGAATGAT